AAAAACTGGTCCCTGTAGAGACTAGTAAATATTTGTTTTGTTTCCTTCGGGACCAGTCACCAAGTGTTAAATGTAACATTAACAATTTCTCTGTAATGCAAGACACTTAAACCGCATCTGTTCGGTGTTAAATACACCGGTAAATAAATCCTGTGCAATTGAAAACTTATCAATATATTTTTTCTAGTATATATTACATATGTTTAGCTAACGCCCACAAATTACATTTTATGTTACCAAAAGTTTTTTTGTGTTTGTGTGTGTACGTGGGTTTTATTTATCACAACATTGGCAAAGCTATTACCTGTATATTCATTTATGTCATAAAATGTCACAAATGTTTGTTTTGTTTTTTGTTTATTTTTGTTTACACTGTCCATCAAAAGGCAAGTTTTAAACAAGAACAACAGTTTTTTTCTGGTCAAGCAACCCTGAACCTGCCTGAAAACGACTCCTGCTATTGACTGTGATCATTGCCTGAAGCCAAACATCTCCATGCGTCCCTGTCCTTGTCCACAGAAGGGTGTCAACAGAACCACTCCTAACAAACACTCTAAGGGTATTGATGTCTGCTCCATACATGTGGTACCAAAACGACAGACACTTTCCACCACTAACAGTGGTACCGGGAACATTTGAACTTATAAGCTTTGCTGCGTCATTTGGCTGTCTTGGCGATGATGTTTCAATGTATATATACCATCCATTTGCTGAAAGCGTGCAACACAATACTGTTAAAGTTTCAAAGTTCATCATGCACTGTTAAACAATTTCCGGCAAAGTCATAGTGCTGTTCATCTCGGATCAGGGAAAGGCTTTAGCATTGTTAAGTGGTCGCTGGTGACTCCTTTTGCCTTTACAAGCGTAGGGGACAAGGAAATACACAACGGAAGAATGCACCAGACTGTTATAGCAGCGCCAGAAAGTTTACACTATCAACATATTAGCTGGAAAATCACCGAGGTGTGTTTTTTACTGTGATGAATTAGACAGAAAACTCGCCTGTCGTTGAAGGCGTTGTGTCTGGTCACCAGATGACAAGAAGGAAATCACTGCACCACTACATTTAAATACTTTTAATAGCGGATTAAAAAATATATATGCAAAGATCATTGGTATTATTTATGGGTTTCTACAAGGAGGCCAGGATAGCACTCCATTGATTTAAAGTATCTAACCATGTTAGTCTAAATTCCTTCCAACACTGGAGAATATTGGACCAAAGTAAACATTGAGAAACGACTGGTGAAACAACAAAAACACCTTAAGATCCCCCTCAGTTAATTTTTTTACATCCTTAAACGCATACACTGGCTACAGCCTAATGCAGAATCAGCAGTTTGAGTATAGGGAGAACAGAGTGAGAAGTAGTAACGTTGCATTGAGGGCTAAAGCATTTCTAAGAGTATAATGTAATCCAAGAGAAGAGAGAGAGGCATTATATTCTTTAAAACCCTTTTAAAAGGGTTAAAGGACTGTGGAGTCAATTGCAGAGCAAATAAAACGTACTTTTAGGTGCAGGCGACTGTCTTGTGACAAAGACCTCTGTAAGATGGTCACCTCCCTGACCGCATACGTAGGGCTGGCCCCGACAATTATGTAGCCGTTTTATTTCATTTTCTTTGAGGTAGACACCTCGCTTAAGGTATCTAAGACTAGTTTCTGTTGGGTAGAAATTCTTTCGACTTGCCTATTAAACCATTTTCCTCCATGTGTAAAGTAAATGTACTCAAAAGAATTACTTACAAGTGCCTGTTGTGTGGTCTACAGAGGGTCCCGTTGAGGATGAAGATGTTGAGCCTGATGCCCTAGTCCAGTCAAACTCATCTGTTTTGTCCTGAGTCCAAGTACAGAGGTTATTTTCAAAGTTGCAGTTGAATCCAACAGTTGCTGTTAAAAAAGATTTTCCATTTTTTTTTATATAAATTTTGCAAAACTGTGCTATTTAATGCTCACAAAACATATACACAAAGTCAGGCAGATAAGATTCTCAGCTCCCAAATGTATTTTAAATGTTGTTCCATATATTTAATATCCCCCACTTCTCATAATCTCTAGTAGGGTAGCATAGTCTAAAGGATGAAAACACCTATAAATGGACCTACAAAACTTGGAACGTATTTAGGAGCAACTTGGAAACGTCTAAATTCACCCTTCAATTTAAGAAAAACATTAAACCTTCCAATTATAACATTAATGTTCATTGGTATCATAATCGTTCTATACATGGACGATTCTTTGTTTGGTAATAAATGACAGTATTTAGGTAGCAATTTGTTCTAAACTCGTACAACGCATGAAACATACAGATTTTTGAATCAACCGCGACTCCAAGAAAAAACAATCCCATGACTAAACAAATTTAAACTCAAAATGTCAACGTGTATGAAAAGCATGCGTGGCTGAAAGCATATGCTCTCCTAAAAAACAAACAAACAAACAAACAAAACTCTATGCACTCACCATCATTCGGTTGCAGAGGGCAACTCCCTGCACCAACAGTAAATGTTATGTCATCCAAAGCAATGTCGCCAGTGAAGCTATTTCCACAAAGTCCTTCGAACAGAACCTGTTTAAAAGCAAATACAGGTTTGTTAAAGTATGTGTCAGGTATGTCTTCGCCTTAGGTTGTTGATCTAATAACTGAGCAATAAAACATGCCTAAATGAGTTGGTCCTGACCCGCTTGTGTTGACATAATAAATAAAAGCGTTTGACAGCCTTGGATGTTACTAGTTTTCTTTTAACTGTTTCATACTAAATAGTGTTCTGAATCGTAACACCAATCAATTGTATTTCTTTTAAATTGTAACTTGTCATCGTCAACAGCAGCGAAAGCTCAGCAGGAGTCCTTTTGAAACAGGTCAGCATTTTTAAAGGTCGGATAAGATCTCAGAGTCTACGGACTCTCTGACGTATTCATGCGGATGCCTCCATATTGCCTACGTACGTGGATCTTAAAAAATATCTGGGATTCGTTGATAATAATAGAGCTATCCGGGATATCTTTAGAGAACAAAGTGATGATGAAAAGGGCGATATCAAAATCTTTAATTACGAACACAGTCTCATCAATCTACATCTATAACAGATTGACAAAACTTAAGAATCATTGTGCCAAAGGCATGGGCATCCCTTCTATTTCTAAAAGGAAAAAACTCTATAAGATTGAGCAAAAGTAGTTCCAGAGCATCCACACAACACTCATTAACATAATCATTACACACGGATTCAGAGCGCTGTATTTCTGCCATTGCTCCCTTCAGAACACATGGTGCGTTTTCAAATTTGAGCATCATGCCAACGCTTCTATTTACGTCGACTTATGAACTGAATGATGAAACTTTCTCTTTACCTGATACTTAACACTGCTTCTGATGGGAGTTTGTCCAAGCATCCAACTGTTTCCTTTGTTTCCCTTTCTTTGCCAAAGCAGATACATGGAAGAAAAGTTACCAGTATAAATATAAACATTTAGAGTTCCAATGGATGCTCCTTTCATATGATGCCAGAACTTCAAACATATACCACTGCTAGTGGTTGGGTCAAATGGCTGGCTGAGGAGATATGCTTTGTCACCCGCCTGACGTGGGGATGATGTCTCAATGAAAACATACTGTCCTGCAAAATGAGAAAGAAGTGATCGAAACCAAAACTAACCAGAAGAAACAACTATTTCAGCGACCTTAGCTTCATTTAATCGGCATTGTTTAATTTCCGTAACTATGAGACCTGTAGCTAGTCATTACTTTTGACTATATAAAATGAAATCGTGTTAGTCCAAAAATTTTTTAACCCATTGTTGTTTGTAGTTATTTTCTTGTTAATTATGGCTTATATTAATATTTCATACCCTTTTCATGCTTATTCTCAGTGTTCGAATCGTAAAACTTGCGGATAACTTAAAGAAGTAAGGTAAGAAAACAAAAAACTTAGCGTAATAAAAAAACCACGTGTGCAACACGAAGGAAAAAAGTTCACATTAGGTTCTAAAACCGAGGCAGATCCCTCTTTTACCTTTAATTGGACCTACTGTAAGAAGGTATCAGGTTTTGTAATGTTCCTGCCCAGCCCTCTTCCTTTTATTTTCCCTTCATGTTTTCACGTCATTTCTACGCTGATGACACCCAGCTTTACTACTCATTCAATCTTCATGACCAAGCGGCTTCAGTGCAAGCAATTGAGTCTTGTTTAAATGATATTGATGCATGGATGCTTGCAAACATGTTAAGGCTGAACAGGGATAAAACTGAGCTCCTAGTAATTGGACCAAAGCACAAAGTCAAACCACCTATAAAGGGTATTTATGTGGCTGGTGAATACATTGAAGTCTCTAATAATGCTCGAAATATAGGTGTAATTTTTGATTCCCATGTGAACTTAGAGAAACATGTTATAAACACCTGCAGGACGGCCTTCTATCATTTGCGAAATATAGCAAAGATAAGAAACTGTCTCTCTCAGGATAATGCTGAGACACTTGTTCGTGCATTTATTTCATTTAAGTTGGATTTCTGTAATGCTCTTCTATATGGCTAAACCCAATTATTGATAGGCTACAGTATGTACAAAACTGCGCAGCTCAACTGGTGACTAGAACTCGAAGCTGAGAACATATAACAATGGTTCTAAAACAAGAGAGGATAAAGGGGACAGAGAAGGCATCCCCCATACACACCCTATTCTATAGGTAATTCGTCTCGAGGTATTTTTAGAATCGGGATAAAGTTACCTCGCGCGCTGCGTGGATGTTTCGTGGACGTTTCGCATGACTAAACGCCGTGCAAAACATGTCAGGCGAAAGGCAATGAAAGCGTAAGAGATCGAGAGCATTCCTGAATATTGACGCGAAATGAGTCGGCGCTCACCTGGGAAAAGGGAATCGCTAGACTCGACTCGAAGTTGTCGTAACCTCAGTGCTTTAATAAAATGAGAAATTTCGCTGGTCTATTGAAACCGGTCGTTTGTACAATAAAGCAAGTAGGACGCCAAGTGGTTTTTTTGTTGAATAATAAAAGACTAATAAAGGGATAAATATCAAACCAGAAATTTCTCTCTTCAAACTGTAAATTATAAATGATCTTGAGAGAATATTCAGTGTGTTAAGGATTTCCCTGCTGTACTTTTAGCTCTATACAACAGAGGAAGGGCGATTCTGTTTTAATATCCGTTTCGCTGACACAGCTTTAGCAGAAATCCCTCTGTAGTCGTTTTCGTCGACAAAACGAATAGCAATATCGCTCTCCGCGTCTTCCGCCATTTTGTTCTGCGTCAATTCGTGAAGGACGCGTGGCTCTGAGCGTGGGTCATCCACGCGAAACACGTTTGCGCTATGTGATTGGCTGTTGTCTAATCCCCAGATTAAACAAATAGGTCTGGTTACTAAATATAGAGCAAATAATTTTAAATTCCCACTATAGTACTAACCTACAGATGAGCTTGTTGTGTGGTCAGTGGAAGGGCCAGTGTTGGAACTTGGTGTGGAGCCACTGCGGCGAAGCCAATCAAAATCGTCACTCTTTGGCACATTGAGCCAAGTACACATATCTTTTTCGAAGTTACAATCACCTGGAGGTGGGCATGAATTGTCAAGTAACTCTACATCGTCTATGGCTATGTCACCCTCATAACTGGACCCTCGTATTCCTTCAAATACTAGCCAATAATCAGAACTTGATGTTATTGTCACCTGCCAAGAAGAAAAATTTCCAACGGTAGGAAATACTGGTGAGGAATGCACTTTGTCGTAATGCTACCCAATCCTTGTTTACAAGGGCTTTACTTAAGAAAAATGTCCTCTTTAATACACATTTGCCCTAAAAAACAAGGACTGCTTGCATTTTCTTTGGTATGACAGTCACAACCCATTTAAAACCAGTGCCAGTGTTTTTAAAACAAATCACCCGTTTTCAAAGGAGCTGTTTAAATTTTGTTGTAACTGAAGGAACCTGACAATACATTTATCAGGATTCATACCGTATTGGTGACCAAGAATTCAAAAACCTTTTTTAGGACTTTAAAGAACACGATTTGCACTTTGGGCTTCATGCCGTGCAAAAAAAAAACCAATAATCACAGTTTTCATTAACTGGTCATTTACTATTTTTTGTTGCTCAGTACTCATCTTCAATCAACATTTAATGTGGCATTGGTTAATTAAGAACCTGTGCAAGATGAAGTCTGCAAAATATTTCAGGACTTAATTTCCAGCACCCAGAGCTATTTTCAAGACATTTCAAGGCCTTGTATGTTTATTTTCTAAACCAGAGATATTCAAGAAATTTCAAGGCACGCGCCAATCCATTCAGAAATTCAGCAAAGTCTGTAAGATAACAATTATACCTAACAGTGCTAAGAGAGTAAAGAAACCAGCCATAATGTTTTCTTCTGTTGCTGAATTGATTACATCGATATAAATCACTAAAAACAGTTTAAGCACCTGCATAGCATAAGAAGTATTACTATCTTACACACTGTCCTTCAGGCAATTAAACAGCTTCCAGTTCTTAAAAAGAGAAAGCAGAAGAAAGAGAAAGTATTTCTGTGACAAGTTTGCTTGTTGCGGTTGTTGTTTATATCTGTTATTAAAGATGTTTCTCTGTACCTGGGCAATCCACCACTGATTTCCATGATTGCCTGATCTAGACCAACTCAAAGAGTATGTGAATCTTCCGAGAAATATGCGCTTTATATAAACATTAAGGGTCCCTATGTGACTTCCATACATGTGGTACCAGAACTGAAGGCATTTTCCTCTTGCTGATGAATATTTAGGGCTCGCCAGCATTGCCTTGTCTCCTGGCCTTCTTGGAGACGAGGTTTCAATGTACATGTAATAACCTTTTGCTGTTCCAAAGGTGTGGTCATTTGCAGGGCCAGTGCCGGAACTTGCCGTCGAACCACTCTGGCGTGTCCAGTCAAAGTCATCAGAACTAAAACATTAACAAGAATAGTATACCAGGTTTATTACTGAAGTTAGGAACTAATCCTGATTAGAAATAAAGTCAGTTTTTCTTCTAAACAGAGACCTTTATAGGATGGTCTACAACACCAAAATTAAAATTTAGAGTCAGTTTCATTATTTCTCAGTTGTTCTCCACGCAAACTCTCTGAAACTCAATGGGTCAGTTATTTCCGCGGAATTTAACTATTGTTTAACCAAATCGCGTTCTATGTCATTTTCACTTTACCGAACCCTTTTATCTGAACACCATATTCCGTCAACAGTTTCATTAAAGCATATAACGTAGACTAGAAAAGCATTTGTCTTCTTAAAATAACCCACTAAAGAAGAGATCTGAAGGTTTAACGATTTCCTAAAGCACGGTCTAAGTTAGACTTCGTTTGAATAACCGACCCAGTGATTTTAGAAATTGACAGGGAAATTGTGCAGGGTAGTAGAAACAACGAATCAACTTTTCAAAACAACATGAGTAAAATTTTAATCTTTTGCAGAGTTTAGACGAGAGTGCACATTCAGTGTTATAGGCAAATGGAGCTTAGGGTTGTGGAGTTGGAGATGAAGGAAAAAGATAAAGGAAGGTTACCTAGAAATGACAGCTAATTGTAGGTGATGGTGAAGCTATGATGTATGCGAAGACAAGGTGGGGATTATAACACTGTAGTTGGCTAAGGGAAAGATCTTTAAGGTTTTGCTTCAAATAATCGATGGTCAATGAGGACACCTTTGTTTTGGTATTTGCTTTGGTTTGATACCCTGGAGATCTGTAAAAAGTGCTTAAAGTCAAAAGTAAAAATATAATCACAAACGCCTTTCCTTGAATTTTAAACTACAGACAAGACACACCAGCCCTGCTGCTCTTTCCACTAAAATGAGCTCACAGTAGCTAGGAAATAATCCTTTCGCACCAACAACTATTCAGAAACTCCATGGGGCTTACACATTTAAAACTAGGGTTCAATATACCAGAATCTGTCACTTTACTGAGACCATTCCCAAACAATACTTTCGCTTCAGAGAAACAACTTTTATAAAGTTTACCTCTTTTCATTGGTCCATCCACACATTTGGACATCTTCAAATGAACACGCTTTTAGGGATGAGCAAAAACCATCGTTGAGAACAATATCATCAATTGCTATATCACCTTGAAAGCTTTTACCACGAACACCCTCAAATACAACCTGTTCGGAAAATAAACAGTCAAATTCAATGAAAGTTTTTTTTTGAATGCGCGCCGTGTAACAATTAAACTGTTACCCACCCACCCGGGGGGGGGGGGGGGGGGGGTTTTCCATTTTAAAGGGGATGGGGGGCGTTGCCCTCTCTGTTGGTGGTGGCGTACTGGGTTTGGGTGCTTCTCTTGGGTGTCTGGGTAGATGTCCCTTCCTATCTGTTTGGTAGGTTCCATGTCACGGTTGGATTTGTGTTATATATATATATATATATATATATATATATATATATATATATATAACTTCACAGAAGCTCAGGTTTCACGAGCAATCATCGTTTTACCGCCACAGAACTGCCCCGCATGGTGCAAGGACCACACTCACCAGGCAACTTTGACGACTGAACTGTTGGAATTGGAAAGCTGGCAGTTAAATGCGAAAATGTATGTATGTATTCAAAACTAGGGTTCAATATACTAGAATCCGTCACTTAAGAGAAACAACATGAATGTATAAAGGTTACCTCTTTTCATTGGTCCATCCACACATTTGGACATCTTCAAATGAACACGCTTTGGGCAAAAGGGATGGGCAAAAGCCATTTTTGAGAACAATATCATCAACTGCTATATCACCTTGAAAGCTTTTGCCACAAACACCCTCAAATACAACCTGTTCGGAAAATAAACAGCCAAATTTAATGAAAGGTTTTTTTTTTTTTTTTTTCGAATGCTCCCGTTAGGGTACGTGACGTGTAACAATTAAACTGTTACCCAGAAGAAGTCCTTAAGCCGGCAAATTTTTTTTTTTAAATTATGACGTCAGTGGGTAACAGCCCACAGTACTGCTACGTGGTCCAATATTGACCGTTAGATTACTGAAATTTACTTTCAAAAATTTGTACAAGAAGTTGTTCCAAAATACGTTAGAGAAAAAAAATCACCTGAAAAAAACTGGTCCCTGTAGAGACTAGTAAATATTTGTTTTGTTTCCTTCGGGACCAGTCACCAAGTGTTAAATGTAACATTAACAATTTCTCTGTAATGCAAGACACTTAAACCGCATCTGTTCGGTGTTAAATACACCGGTAAATAAATCCTGTGCAATTGAAAACTTATCAATATATTTTTTCTAGTATATATTACATATGTTTAGCTAACGCCCACAAATTACATTTTATGTTACCAAAAGTTTTTTTGTGTTTGTGTGTGTACGTGGGTTTTATTTATCACAACATTGGCAAAGCTATTACCTGTATATTCATTTATGTCATAAAATGTCACAAATGTTTGTTTTGTTTTTTGTTTATTTTTGTTTACACTGTCCATCAAAAGGCAAGTTTTAAACAAGAACAACAGTTTTTTTCTGGTCAAGCAACCCTGAACCTGCCTGAAAACGACTCCTGCTATTGACTGTGATCATTGCCTGAAGCCAAACATCTCCATGCGTCCCTGTCCTTGTCCACAGAAGGGTGTCAACAGAACCACTCCTAACAAACACTCTAAGGGTATTGATGTCTGCTCCATACATGTGGTACCAAAACGACAGACACTTTCCACCACTAACAGTGGTACCGGGAACATTTGAACTTATAAGCTTTGCTGCGTCATTTGGCTGTCTTGGCGATGATGTTTCAATGTATATATACCATCCATTTGCTGAAAGCGTGCAACACAATACTGTTAAAGTTTCAAAGTTCATCATGCACTGTTAAACAATTTCCGGCAAAGTCATAGTGCT